AGCTGAATATTAAATACATTACAGAGTAAGGGAAATGGGGAGATGTTGGTCAAATGTGCAAACTTCCAGTCATAAGATTAATAAGCTCTGGAGATATAATGTACAGCATAGTAATTATAGCTAACAACATTGTAGTATATACTTGAAAGCTGTTAAGAGAGTAGATCTTAAATGTTCTCGCCAAAAAAAGAAATGGTACTTAAGTGATGTAATGAAGGTGTTAGCTAAAGCTATGGTGGTAACCATTCTGTAATATATAAGTGTATCAAATCAACAAGTTGTACATCTTAATTTTATACAATCTTATACATCAATTACACCTCAATAAACGTGAGGGGAAAATCCATGGAAGCAGAGGGAAAAAGTCTCCCCAGGTATATCAAAATAAATAAACAAACATATTACGATCTTTACCTACTACATGGAGAGATATGACACTGGGGAATATGAACAAAAGAGAGGAAGCAAGGAATCCTTTGAACACTCCAACAAGAAGTTCAATTCACTTAGAAGGAAAAATGGTCAACCCTAGAAGACAGTGGAACATCACAAAGTCCTTAAAAAATGAGTAAGTCAAGAATTTATACCCAATCAAGCTAAGTTAAAAATTCCAACCAAATATTTTTGAAAAGAAAACAAACCATATGGTGAAATAATTTTTAAAACCTTTAAAAGGCAACATCACACACAATAATGACATATCAAGAAAAATGGATTTAACTCACCTATTCAAAGAAAAATCTTTATATTAGATCATACAGCAAAACACAATACTATACTATATACAAAAAAAAATTCCTGAAACAAAATTATTTATACAGGTTGAAAATAAAATCATGGACAAGTTTGTCTGGCAAATGCAAACAAAAAGAAAGCAAGAGTTGCAAAAATAGATGAAGTAGAATTCTGGCCAAAGAGCATTAAACTAACAAAGAACAACAAAAGGGTAAAGAAGCAAATCACTTCATTTTAGGCTTCAGAGAAGTATCATAAATAATTTCTAAGGAAATGAGAAGCTGCAAATAAATAGATAAATAATCATTAAGCACATAAGGAAACAATGCACCATGAGCAAGTGGCAGAAGAATCAGACAGCAGAAAGGTATTCACAAAAATTTTAGCTACTGGAATCCTCAGACACACGTTAAAAACACCTACTCTTTTCAAAGAAATAAAATCAAGCTTAAACATAGCTTCAGGGAAGAGGGCACTGTGTAAAACGACCTAGCAGATCTGTAAACACCAAACAATTTCTAGAAATAAAAAATATAATAATAAACATTCAATGATAGACTCAATAGCAGATCAGATATAGGTGAAGAGGCAAATTAAATTATCCAGCAGGCAAATAGAGAAAGAAGTGGAAAAATGTGAGAGTAGTTAAGAGGCACAGAAAATAGAATGTGACAGGATATTACATATCTAATTAGAGTTCAAGAAGAATGAGCCAGAAGCAATATTTGGGGAGATAATGGCTGAGGCTTTTCTAGAACTGAGGAAAGACATTATGTCACATATTCAAGATGCCCTAACAAATGCCAAGAAGAACAAAATGAAAAGACGACCACACTGAAATAAATTTTAATCAGTGGAAAATTACCAAAGATAAATAGAAATCATCCTATAAGTATTCAGAGGGAGGGAAAAAGGGCCAAATTATCTACAAAAAGTGACTGTTAGATTGACAGCGGAATTTTCATCAGCAAGAATAGAAAACAGAAGGCAGTGGAACAATTTCCTTGATGTACTGATAAATTCTGCCCATCTATATTCTACATCCAGCGATAATTCATTCAAGAATAAGGGTGAAACAGGCATTTTCATACAAGCAAAAATTGAGGATATTCCCACCAGCAGGCCCTCACCAAAGATGTGCTTTAGGCAGGAAGAAAGAGGTCTCACATAGACAGTGTGAGACACAAGAAGAATGTAAGCAAAGTGGTAAAAATTTGGGGATGTAAAAGTGAAAATGACTACATAAATAATATTTTAACTTTTAAAATAAAATAAAGAACACCACCACATAATGTGGTTGGGGTAGGCTAACGGAATTCAGGAGTCTTAAGGTCCTGTATAATCTGGGAGGAAAATAATGTTATTGATTAAAGTTAGACTTTGAAAAGCCATGCATGTTATTATTTCTAGGTTAACCAGTAAGTGAAAAGAAATAGAGTACATAACTACAAATGACTAGGGGGAAATGGAATGAGAAAAAAGTGCTTATGCAAAATTTTAAAAATAAGAGAAAGAAAAAATGGTTGGGTCACACACAAAGTACAAAATAAACTGGTAGACATATTCCAAATATAGGAATAATTACATTAAATGTAAATGGACTAAATGTTCCACTCAAAAGACAAATCCTATGATACAAGGTGTGGGGGAGTCCAAATATAGGCTGTTTACAAGCGATATGTATAAAATTAAAATATATATGTTAAACATAAAAGGATGGAGAAAATTATACCATGCAAATTCTAAACAAAAGAAATAACAGACTTCAAGATAAAAACATTACTGGAGATACAGGGGTCACTTCATAATGATGAAAGTTTCAATATACCATAAGGATAACTATGTTACATTTAGAAGCACCTGAGGACACTTTTATTTTATATAAAGAAAAACTGAACAGAACTTGCCTGTGACTGGCAAGTCCATGATCATAACGAAAGGTTTTCACACACTATGCTCAACAATTGATAGAGTAAGTAGACTGAAAAAAAGTAGTAAGAATATAAAATATTTGAAGACCATAGTTAAGAAAAGTGATATAACGGATAGGTATATATATAGACACTGCACCCAATAATTGTGGAGCATACTCTTTTAATCACAAATCAACCTTCAAGAAATTTGACATGTACTGGGCCATAAAGTACATCTCAAAACTTCAAAGGATGTAAAGATACAGACCAAGTTCTCTAGCCACAATGGAATCAAACTAGAAAATAACAAAAAGACAGCTAGAAAAATCCCATACCATTGAGAATTAAGAAATACATTTCTAAGTAACCTTTGGTCAAAGAAGAAATCAAAATAAAAAATATTTTAAAATAATAACAAATATTATATATTACAATGTGTGGGATTCACCTACAGAAATGCTTAGAGAGAAATGTATATAGCATTAAATGAATAATAATATAGGAAATAATATATGAGAATATCTTTGACTTTTTGGTAGGGAAGAATTTCTTATTATTAAAAAGTAATAACCATAGAGAAAAGATTGATAAATTAGAATTCATTAAAATTAAAAACTTTTATTCATCAAAAAAGTGGTCAGAAAGACATACAGAGAGAGCATCATACACAGAGAGAAGTACAAACCACAAAGAGGAAGAAGATATTTACCAGACATATAACCAAGTCCAGAACAGATGACAAACTCCTAAATGCTGATATAAAAAGACAATTCTATACACAAATAGGAAAGACATTTTAAACACTACACAAAAGAGGAAATTCTGGCTAATAAACATAAAATGATGCTTAACCTTAATCAGTGATATTCACATTAAAACCAATATATACGTCCACCCACTCACACATGTCAAAATTGTAAAATACTGAGCATTGGTGAGGATGTGGAGCAACAAAACACTCATACACATCAGGTAGGAAAGTAAATTGATACAAGCATATTGGAAAAAATAGTTTGGCACATCTGAAACTATTAAAGATATATATATTCTATGGCCCAGCAATTCTACTCCTAAAAATATACCTAGAGAATATTTTTCACATATGCCCCAGGAGAAATGTACCTCATTCTTCACAGTGGTATTATTTATAACAACCAAAACTGCAAATAATCCAAATATCCCACGGCACTACAATGGACAAATTATGGTATATTCATATAACCGAATGCTATATTGTGATGAAAATGAATATACATGACCGGCATGCATCAGCATAAATAGATCTTAGAAATGATTCTGAGCAAAAGAAGCAGGCCACACAAGATATATACAACAGGATGCCATTTGTTTAAATTTCAAATCAAATCAAACTAAACTACATATTATTGAGGGATGCATACAAAGAAAGTAAAATTATAAAAAGCAACAGGATTTTCACAAAAGCCAGGCTAGTCATCACCTCTGTGAGAGATGGAGGGAACTAACAAGGTCTGATTCATGTGGAAGGATTCTAAGCCAATGGAACTTTCTAGTTCTCTCTCTGAGTCGTGGTTACATATGTGTTCACCTTATAATCATTCTTTGAACTGTACATGTTTTAAATTCTCTTCAGAATGTATAATATTTTTCACAAAGTAAAAGTGAAAAATTAAAAGCAGTAGAATCGAACACAAAATTAAGATCAACAGTTCGCTGTGAAGCGGGATGCAGGGTGCTGAGATGGGTTTGGCCGGGAACAGACCAGGTTTCAAAACAGTAATGGTTGGTGGTTTGCAAATGTTTGTTATGTTGATATACCAAGTATCCTGCACATAATTTATAACTATTTGAATCTTCCTGATACTTAATTTAAAACATAGAGAAAAAATAAGCAGTTCAGAAACATCCCAAAGAGTGGTCAGGTGCCACACTAATTCACAACACTGTGAACTGGCCTGGAAACCTTTATACCACTGATACATGAGAAAATGAATTCAGAAGTTGTAATAACTTAGCCACACAACTTTTTGGAACATTGCTAATACAATGCAAGTGACCTGCCTACGTGGGGATGGTACCCCCACTGAGCCCTCCTGTGAGCCCAAGAGGAGGTGTGCTGGTTGATGGGATGTTGGTCCCAGGCTGAATGCTTCTCACCACGAGACACCATTGTTCCTGAGTGAAGGCCTCTGCTTCTCCCCTTGACCTTCACGCACATTTGGAGCTGGTAAGCAGACCACACTGCTCTCTCCAGAGCCTGGCCACAATCACTCTGTAAAGCTGTTTTATTTGCTGCAATTTGAATAACAGCCCCGTCTACCAAAATCAGATCAATTTTGCTTTATTCTGCAAAAGAGTTTAGTGTTCTCTTACCTCTGTCTTCCAAGTTTTGCAGTTTATGTTTGAAGCTAGTACTTTTCATCAATGACTCTTGGTTCACAGTCTTAAAAACAAAATAAACACACCGCAAATACATAAGAAATAAGAAACTACCCACAGCTAGAAGGACCTGCAACTAAAATATACAACTATGTACAGGGCGGGTTTGGGGAGATAAAGCAGAAAAAAGAAACTAGTGCTGCTACATTATCCCTTAAGAAGAAATAACCCAGGACATTTTGCAAGTATGCTATTAATTTTTGAAAACCAGATGAATAACCAACAATTAAATAGTACCTTAGATACATTTTCTTCAACTCCTGAGTGCTCCAAGGAAGAGAGATTGCTCAGTGGGTGGGGACTTTGAAGTTCTGAGTGTTAGAGAGAACAGTTTCAAAGGAATAAACACACTAAGGAGCAACTTTAGGCAATAACATTGCACTATTACTCTCTATATTAAATCTCACCATCAGAAAAAATGGGACAGTTCTAAATTAAAAAAATTTTGTATCTTTCAGGGGATTTATGGGCATTAGGTTTGTAGATCTGTAAATAAAAGGAATAACCAGCTACCTCAACTAGATCAGCATCTTTAGTAGCTGCCCATCTGGCCCCAAATACATGGGTGAGGATTCTACCACCTCGCCTTGCGATCCTTCTCTTTCTCTCTCTCGGACCCACTCCTTTGTTTCCTCTTACTCTCTAATGCTATATTTTCCTTTCTCTTCTTTTCTGCCTGCGGCAGCCAAGCTAACAGGTTGTCAGTCGCATGCTTACTAAGCGCCATTGTGTGCCTGGAGATGTGCTAAGCTGCAGAGTAACAGTGAAGAACAAAACAAACTCCCTACTCTCGTAAATTTAAAGGATGCGAATAGTTTGAATAAAATACAGTGGGGGTTAAGATAAACCTTATAGGTGAATGGTTGGTAAATTCTGACCCATCAGGCCAAATCAGGTCAGCCACCTGGTTTTATAAATAAAGTTTTATGGAAACACAGCCACGCCTGTAGGTTTACATCTTGTCAGTGGCTGATTTTGAGCTGTGACTGCCGAGGTGAATATTTGCAACAGAAGCCATATGGACCAAAAAGCAAAAAATGCTTTTATCTGGTTCTTTATAGAAAATATTTATCAACCCCTGCTATAAGTCACCATTTGAGTTTTATTGCTTCTTTAAAAGAGGAAAAATACCAGCGATTCTTATGCACAAGCTGGTCTCAAATGTTAAAGCACAATTAAGATACAATATCCTGTATCTTTTGCCAATGAGGACATTAAAGGGAAGGGCAATCATATCTTTACACTTTCTTCAACAGATATTAAAAGAAAAATGTTTTGTTTATTTCCAACTATCTTTCCCCAAACATAATTTTTTCTACGTAAACTTAACAGAAAATCAGGTACCTGTTTTCTGGGCAGAATCTTCAGGAGTTAAAAAGACAGAACTACCCTGAAATTTTTTTCCAGAAACTTTTGGAGGTGTGGCATTATTTTGCCTGGAGGTATTTTTCTATAAAGGTGATAGAAGTTTAGCTTAAAATAGAGTACTTTTTAAAAGTGTTAAACATTCACAACCACTCAAAACAAATTATCAAAGAACTCTAAGACATCGCCAATACCCTTTAATAGAATTTAAGTATTAGATTTACTCCATTTGAAAACAAACGCTAAGAACATAAGATCTAAGAGTTGGAAGTACATTAGGTCATACATCAGTTGATACCTCTCAATCAAAGTTGTCAAAGTGTGGTCCCAGACCAGAGCATCACAACACGTCGGGGCCTGGTGGAAATGCAAATTCTCAAGCCCCACCTGTGATCCACTCAATCAGAAACTCTGGGACAGGACCCAGAAACCTGCATGTTAACAAGCCACCCTGATCATTCTGATGATCACTAAAATCTGAGAGCCATTGCCCTCGATCAGGAGTCAGCAAACCATAGCTTACTGCCTCTTCTTGTAAATAAAATTTCATTGGAACATGACACAACCATTCGTTTAGGTATTGTCCAAGGCTGCTTGCGTGCTACAATGGCAGAGTTGAATAGTCGCCACAGAACCCATACGGCTCCCAGAGTCTGAAACATTTACTCCCTGGCCCTCTACAGGAAAAGTTTGCTGACCCCTGCTCTAAATTATTCTCTTATACTCCAACACAGAGAAGTGAATTTTGAATACCAATATTTGTACCAAGTCAGGAATGTCCTCACTGAAAATCAGCATAGACTTCTTGTCGGTTGTACAGCTTAAATTCATGGATTCTCAAAGCTTTGATGTTTCTTTGGGCTTATTTAAACCGAAAGCTATATTTACTAAAAACTGTTCTTTTGGCTTATTTCTAACTGATAATTCGTTATTTCAGATTAAACTATTCAACAAATATTTAGGTACTTACTCTAGCCCACAGGTGTAATCTGTAAACTATTTCTGTCATTACAGAACATGAGAGCTCCTTAGAGTCACAGGGGGCAACAATCCCCAGGCTGACGGAAGGAGGCAGGTCAGGGGCAGATAACTAGCTATGACCGGAGCACCAACCGCATGCTATTTCTGCACAGGCAGGCAGGGTGCCGTTCATGCCCTCAGAATCCCGGCAGCCTCTCCCTTGGAAAACTCGTATATACTTGGCACTACACGCTAGTGTGTATGTGTGCAAATATATTTAATACATACACACACATAAATATATATCATTTGACAGAGAACAAAAGCCAGCTGCCGAAAGAGGTAATTCAGCTAATATCAGGCAAAACCAGGCTTTGAATTGGTCTAGAGGACACCGGTGTCCGTATTCTTAACTTCTTTGCTATAAAACAAGGACAACTGAAGGCAATTAGGAAACTTGGGGAGTTTATTCAACATGTATATAAGCCTGAAGGCATTTCAGCCACTTGCAAAATAAAAATTTAAATGTTTAGATGACTGAAAGCTTTGAAAGTAGTAAGTCAACAAACCGAAACTAAGGGAGGATTAAACCAACAAGCCAACTTTAAAATGGAAATTTAGAAGCACAGATATTTGCAGGAAATAAGAATAGCCCAGATTTTAAGCGCTGCTCATAATAAGTCTTTCAGCGACATTTGGGAACAGTGAAGAAAGATCTTAAATCTTTACCCAAGGTTTACTTTACTAAATGTTTGGGAGTTCTTGCAGTTTTATTGACAGTTGTTTTCATGTCAGTAACCCAGTGGTTTGTTATTCTCATATTCCTGAAACAAGTTTTTTTGAGAATTGAATGCAGTTTAACCCTAAACAGATTGACCTGTGTCATGTTAATGCCACAAGGGCACATGGCAGCCTAGATAAAATATACTCACTTCGTCTTTCTCACGGTCACTGCCACTACTGGGAGGGAAGAGTGGCAAGACTAAAATGAAAGGAAACAAGCATACAATGGATAAGTTTATGTATGAGAAATACAAAAATTCATTTCCCCCTCTCCCAGTTACACACGTCCACGCCAGAAGCAATTCCCACTTCCTATAGCTTGCTCCAATATCTAGCTCTTAAGATCCCTTTCTAATTATTCACTTGTTCCTCACCACCCAGCATGAACTCTCTGCTCTAGACCCTGTCCCTGAACGCTGTCTTCGCATCCTCAGCCTGTCCTTGTAGTTTTACCTAACCTAGAATGCTTCCCCTTCTCCACAGCTCTTCAAATCCTATTCTTTTCCCAAGGATCAGCTCCAGTCCCACCCACCTCTTCCTTCAAGCTTTTTCTAATGATTCCAGCTCACGTCAGATTCCTCTTATCTGAACTCCTACTCCATTTATCTACACCTCAGAATGAACAATTTTTGGTCAATTCCATATTCTGTTGTACTGTTTCACACATGTACATTTTGCCTTTCCAGTGTAATGGTAGCCAAGGAGGATCACATGATCATATATTTATTACCCTCTCCCATCATGTACTGAAAAATACCTGCTGATTTATTTGAAAAGTGACTTGAAAGAAGACATATACCAAACTTACTTTTTACCCTACTTCTGATTCTTGTCTTTTTTCTACCAGAATATGGTTTTAGGGATTTTCTTTTCTGGTCATTTGTCCAAGGCAGCTCACTGGTACTGGTGCTTGAATCTGGATTACTCTCTGAGAAGAGGTGTTTCCTGTAATCAAGCTTCTACAACACAGGTGATGAACGACAACTATTAAAGACATGTTAGTGCTATTTATGTACAATTAAATGTATTATAAAGTTAGACAAAAGAAAAGTAACTCCTTCTCCTAGAAGACTGGGCTGTCTTATATAATAAAAAGGCACAGAAGCACAGAGGGAGCAGGAAAAGGAAAAATGGATTATTTCTTTACTGCTGTTGTAAAGGATGACAAAATCCTCTCTAATCAAATACTTGCAACTGAAAAGATACTACGGTCACTGTTCAAAAGCTGATGCACCTGAATATTGTCTTGACAATATAACTTCAAAAAACTAACCCAAACGACAAAAAATATATATATAAAAATAATTTTTGCAAAGACATGCTTGTCTAGATCTTAGAGGAATCAAAATAAAACAAGAGGGTCATTTCTATTTAAACCTTAAAGCATTCTGAACTTGAGCCTGGACTTTAAAGGGTAGAGATTCAGGGCGAGTGTAATCCATCCTGGTGGATCATTCATCTATACTTTGATATTTATACATCTAAAAACTTTTTGCTTTTGGATTCGTTTCTACAAATGCTTTGACAAATAAATGTTTACGCTGGATTTTTATATGGAGTGTCTTTCAATAAAAAAGCATACTCTCTTCGAGCCCTGTCTGTTGTACCCTTCCAGGGCACTCAGTCCTTAAGCCACCATGCCTCCGGAGGGGCGCCACCATTAGGCCGGTAACAATTCATCCTTTCAGGCGCGGGAGGAGTCTTATGAATCCAAACCGATTAAGTGGTGACAGTATCTTATATAGTGTTCTCAGATATGAAATGCACCGGCTGGAGGACACCCCCTGGGCCTGGAACGGTGAAGTACAGAATTAGCTCCCGAGGCCATTGCTACGTCAGGATAAGAACCAGGGTCACCTTTATTTATGATAGTACAACTCATAACGTTTAAGGTGGGTGATGGAGAGCTACCTATTTTTCAAATGAATTCATTTTTAAAGACCCAATTACTCCTACTTTAAAATGCTTAGCAGTTCAACATTTTGTAGAGAAGGTCATTGTTAAAAGGAACCTTGTGAGCCAGGCCTATTTGCATCTTACTCGTAACGGGTTGGGGCTACCACCACATTTGTTTCAGAGTTCTTCAGCCCAGTGACTTGTAAAGAGCAAGCCTTACTTCATTTAATGCTCCCAATTAAAAGACCAGCCATCAAGGCCTTCCCAGTTTCTTGATTTTATATAAAAAGGTGTTGAAAGTTATTTACAGAAATGAAAGAATCTAGAGCAGTGGTTCTTAAATTTGGCTGCATGTAAGAATCATCAAGACGAGGCTTTTAAGAAAATCCCCATGCCTGGACACTACTCCGGATCAATTAAGTCAGAATCTTTGGGGAAGGGACCCAAGCTTCAGTAGTTTCTTCAGCTCCCCATGTGATTCCAGTTGGAGGACCAGGCAGCTGAGAGGGAGGACCATTGTGAAGAGAAAGCCAGGAGCCTTAACTCATTTGTTTGAAGCCCATGATCTCAATTTTAGAAAAAGTGTTCATTTAATATTCATAAAGAGATTTTGTTTTTTAATACGCTGACCATAGGCTTAGAGCATGGTGCTTCCCAAAGCAAGAGCTACACTACAGAGGTGCGATTTTGTGCACAGGAACAAAACCGTGTCAACAACTCAGTGAAAAAATACTGGTTCGATTCAGTAACACTTCTGATTCTATTCAGGATAAATCTTAGGTGCTGGTAGGTCTTTAGCACTCTCTTCTGCTTACTAATCCTTTTTAACAAAGCAAGACCAGGCTTTAGGCTCAAAACCTAATACAAGTAAAAGGATAGCTCGATATGATAACTTTGCTATTTTCTGTTGTATTTTTGGGAGGCTCACCTACTAACGTGCTACAACTGATGTAGATTTTCCATTTGAAAGTGAAATAATTCCTTTTAAAATAAGTTCAAGATAAGTTTAGTTAAGAAAAATAGAGATAAAGAGCAGAGTGATGAAAAAATTTGAAGAAGGTAGACAAATAACAAAATTTAGGAAGTATTGCCCCCCAACAATAAAAGTTACCCCATTACCGACATCCTTGTTTCCTGCTTTCCGTCATCCTCAAAAGCAGACTCTTCCCTAAAATAAAACATATCGAATTAACGGGACTGTCCCACCGTCACCTTCTCCTCCCCACACTTCACAACCCTAACTCTCTTTCCCTTCTGATCGTGAGCCCAGCACATGGGAAGAAACTTGTGTTGAGCCCTTCTCTGTCAGTCACACAAAGAAGAGGAGGGCAGGGTGCAGTCAGCAAGCTGTGGCCCTGCTGCCGACAGTGTTTCCCATCTGGCTCTACCTTAGAATCAACTGGGGTGCTGAAAAAGCAAGCTTTTCTTAATGATAAGTGACGCTGAGCATCTTTTCATGCACCTGTTGGCCATTTGTATGTCTTCTTTGGAGAAATGTCTATTCAAATCCTTCCCCCATTTTTTCAATCAAATAATTTTTTTGCTATTGAGTTGCTGGGGTTCCTTATATATTTTGGATATTAACCCCTTATCAGATATATAGTCTGCTATTATCAAAAAAACCAAAGTGTTGGTGAAGATATGAAGAAATTGGAACACTCGCACATTGTTCATGGGAATGTAAAATGGTATAGCCACTATGGAAAACAGTATGAAGTTTCCTCAAAAAATTAAAAATAGAACTACCATATGATCTAGCAATTCCACTTCTGGGTATATATCTAATAGATTGAAATCAGGATCTCAAAGAGGTATCTTCACTCTCACGTCCACTGCAGCATTATTCACAATAGCCAAGATATGGAAACAATCTGTGTGTCCATTGATGGATGAATGGATAAAGAAAATTCAGTATACACAGACAATGGAATACTAGCCTCAGCGTGGCTTGATGAGTGGTGCCATGTCCACACCCAGGATCTGAACCAGCAAAACCCTGGGCCACCGAAGTGGAACAAGCAAAACACAGGGGCCAGCCCTGTGGCCGAGTGATTCAGCTCCCATGCTCCACTTTGGTGGAACCTAACCACCTGGCCACAGGGCCAGCCCCTCATGTTGTGTTCTCATCACAATAAAAAAAGTTAATGCACCCTCATTTCCAAGAAACCATTGATCTACTTTCTATCTCTATAGATTGGTTTGCATTTTCTAGTATTTTATATAAATAGAATCATACAATATGTAGTACTCTTTTGGTTTTGGTCTGGCTTCTTTCACTTGGCATGATTACTTTGAGATTCATTCATGTTGTGTTTATTGAGCACTAATTCCTTTTTATTTTTTTTTAAGAATTGCATAGAACTTTCTTATTGCTTATCACATATTCTACTGTTTTTTTTTTTTTTTTGAGGAAGATCAGCCCTTAACTAACTGCTGCCAATCCTCCTCTTTCTGCTGAGAAAGATTGGCCCTGAGCTAACATCCGTGCCCATCTTCTTCTGCTTTATATGTGGGACGCCTACCACAGCATGTCTTGCCAAGCAGTGCCATGTCTGCACACGGGATCCGAATCAGTGACCCCTGGGGTACCAAAGCGGAACATGTGCACTGAACCGTTACACCACCCGGCCAACCCCTTTTTATTTCTAAGTAGTATTCCATTGTATGGATATAACAAAATTTATTTACCCATTCATCTATTGATGGACATTTGGGTTGTTTCTTGTTTGGGGCTGTTATAAATAAAGCTGCTGTAAACATTCATATAGGTGTAATGGTTAAGTTCAGGCACTCTGCTTCCACGGCCTGGGGCTGGGGTTCATGGGTTTGGATCCTGGGTGCGGACCTACACACTGCTCACCAAGCCATTCAGTGGCAGCATCCCACATACAAAATAGAGCGAGACTGGCAAAAATGTTAGCTCAGGGACAATATTCCTCAAGCAAAAAAAGAAGATGTTAGTGCAGGGCCACTCTTCCTCACCAAAAAAAAATTCATGTACATGCCTTTGAGTGACATATGCTCTCTTGAGTAAACATAGAAATAGCTGGCCCAAAGGATAGGTGTATATTTAACATTTTAAGAAACTACCAGAGTTCCAGTAGCTCCACATCCTCATCAACACTTGCTATAGTCAGTCTTTTTAATTTGAGCCATCCTAATACATGCGTAGTAATATTTCAATATGGTTTTAATTTACATTTCCCTAATAGCTAATAATGTTGGGCGACTTTTCATGTGCTTATCTGTCATCTATGTATCTTCCTTGGTGAAGTAGCTATTCAAATTTTTTGCCTATATTTTTATTAGGTTCTATTTTTATTATTGAATTTTGAGAGTACTTAATATATTTTGGGTACAAGTCCTTTACCAGATAGACGCATCTACAAATATTTTCTGCAAGCTGGTCCTTTCAGTCCCCTAACAGTGTTTTCTGAAGAGTAGAAGTTTTTAATATTAATTAACCCCAATTTATCAATTTGTTCTATTATTTGTTCTTTTATGATTGGTTTTACACCAAATTATGCTTTTGGTGTCATATCTAAGAAACTTTTGCCTAACTCAAGGTCACAAATATTTTTTCTTATGTTTTCTTTCAAATAGGTTTTACATTTATGTCTATGATCCATTTTTAGTTAATTGTTTTAATATGGTGGAAGGTAAAGATCATTTATCTTCTCGCATATATGGATATTCAGTTGTTCTAGCACCATTTGTTAAAAAAAAAAAAACCACTTATCCTTTCTGCACTGAATTGTCTTTGCATTTTTGTCACAGACCAGTTGTCCATATGTGTGTAGGTCTATTTCTGGACTTCCTAGTCAGTTCCACTTATTCATCTGTCTTTATGCCAATACCATACTCTCTTGATCACTGTAGCTTTATAGTAAGTCTTGAAAACAGGCAGCGTGTTAGCCCTGCCACTTTGTGTTTCCTTTTGAAATTTGTTTTGCCAAATTTCTACCTAAAATTTAGAAATAGCTTGCTAATTTCTTTTAAAAACCCAACCAAACAAAAAACAAATAAACCAAACACTCTGCTGGATTTGAATTGGGTTCATATTGAATTTACAGATTAATTTGAGAAGAACTGGCATCTTAACGATATTGAGTCTTCCACTGCATGAAACACAGTATCTCTCACCGTTTAGATTTTCCTTAATTTCTCTCAGAAAAGTTCTGTAGTTTTCAGTATAGGGGTCTTACAAACTTTTTGTGAAATTAATCCTTAAGTATATCATATTTTTAATACTATTATAAATGGTATTGCTTTTTAAAATTTCTGATTGTTGCTAGTATAAAGAAATTTGGTTTTTGTATATTAATCTTGTTTCCTTCAATTTTTTTAAATTTATTCATTAGTTCTCTAATAAGCACATTCAACAAAGTTGCAGGCTACAAAATGAACACACAAAAATCAGTTGTGTTTCTATACACTAACAATGAACAATATGGAAAGAAAATTAAGGAAACAATTCACTTACAATAGCTTCAAAAAGAATAAAATACTCAGGAATAATCTTAAGGAGGTGAAAGACTTATACACTGAAAAATACAAAAGACTGCTGGGAGAAATTAAGAAGACACCACTAATTGGAAAGATATCCTGTTTTCAGGGATTAGAAGATTTAACATTGTTAAGATACCAACACTACCCAAAGCAAGCTACAGATTCAATACAATCCCTATCAAAACCCCCAATGTCTTTTACAGAAACAGAAAAACCTATCCTAAAATTCATATGGAATCCCAAGGGGCTTCAAAAGGCCAAAAAATCTTGAAGAAGAACAAAGTTGGAGATCTCATACTTCCTGATATCATAACTTATGACAAAGCTACAGTAATCCAAAGAGCGTGGTGCTGGCATACAGACAGACATACAGACCAATAGAACAGAATAGAACACAGAGCCCAGAAATAAGCCCTCTTACATATGGTCAAATAATTTTTAACAAAAGTGTCAAGACCATTCAATGGGGAAAAGGACACTCTTTTCAACAAATGGTGTTGAGAAAACTGGATATTTACATCCGAAAGAATCAAGTTGGACCCTTACCTTACATGATACACACAAATTGTCAAAGTGAATCAAAGACCTAAATATAAGAGTTAAAATTATAAAATTCTTAGGGGAAAATTTTCATGACATTGGATTTGGTAATGATTTCTTGAATATGACACCAAAAGCACAGCCAACAAAAGAAAAAAATAGATAAATTGGACTTCATCAAATTAAAAACTGTGCATCAAAGGACACAACAGAGTGAAAAGGCAAGCCATAGAACGGGAGAAAATATTTGCAAGTCATGTATTTGATAAGAGGTTAATATCCAAAATCTATAAAGAACTTCTATAACTCAAGAACAAAAGGACTGTATTCAAATATTGGCAAAGGAATTGAATAGACATTTCTCCACAGAAGATATACAAATGGCCAATAAGCACACAAAAAAATGCTCAACATCACTAATCATTAGGGAAATACAAATCAAAACCACAATGGGATACCATCTCACACCCATTAGCATGATCACCATCAAAAAAACTGTGTTAGCAAGGACGTGGAGAAATTAGAATCCTTGTGCACTGTTGGTGAGACTGTGAAATGATACAGTTGCTATGGAAAATGGTATGGCAGTTCCACAAAAAATTAAAACTAGAACTACCATATGATCTAGTTCCATTTCTGGGTATATACACAAAAGAACTGAAAGCAGGGATTCAAACAAATATTTCTACACCCATGTTCACAGCAGTGTTATTTGCAATAGCCAAAGGTGAAAGCAACCCAAGTGTCCATCAATGAATGGACAAAATGTGTATATACATACAATGGAAATACCATTCTTAAAAAGGAAGAAAAGTCTGACACAAGCTACAGCATGGATGAATCTTGAGGACATTATGCTAAATGAAGTAAATCGGACACAAAAGGATAAGTGCTGTATGATTCCATTTATATGATGTACCTATAGTAGTCAAATTCATAGAGATAGAAAAAGCAGAATGCTGGTTGCCAGGCATTAGGGGAAGGGGAAATGAGGAGTTATTGTTTAATGGGTACAAGGTTTGCAAGAAGAAGAGAGTTCTTGGAACAGACTGGTGGGGATGGTTGCACAACAATGCAAATACACTTAATGCCATTGAACTGTATAATTTAAAATGGTTA